CGAAAGTAAGCGGACACATCTTCAAGTTCCTGCAGGCCTTCCCTTTGGAAGACCAGGTGGGGGTCCAGGCGGGTGAGATCATCAGCAGTGCGGTTGTGGTAAGTGCGGATGTACGCCGTGTAGACTCGGAAACCATAAACACTTTCCAAAACGGACAGAAGTTGGAGCAAATAGGCGGCGATGGCCCTGGGGGCCGTCCTTTTCTGCACCCAGCTCCTGACGACCTGATTGTCTCCTGCATAAATCACCACTTTCCCCCTCCACTTTTCACGCTGAGAGGAGGCCAGAGCGACGAGAGCAAGGAGTTCAGTCACGGCCACGATCAGAATCTCTTCTTCGGGACTGCCCTCTCCCTCGGCTTCCTGTGGGTCTTCGTCCTTCGAAGTCTCAACGAAGGTCCTCAAGGGGCCCTCCAATTCCGCAATTTTGAGTGAGAAGGCGGCCCTGTTGGTCCAATCCACGGCTCCGATGGTTTCCAAGGTGGCGTCTCCAGATGCCCAGATTACTTGCTTGGCCTGGCCCGGGAGGGCCAGGACTTCCTGAAGGGACAAAGCTTCCACCAGCGGGTGCGTGAACACAGTGGTCCATTCGCTTTTCATTTCGACAAGCAGCCTCTGAACCTCCACGGCTTCCCAAAACCTTTGCCAGGCACGAGCCTGGGCTGCGGGAGAGCCCTTGGGACGTGCGTACCCATCGCTGTCTGCAGGACCCAGTAATGCATTGGTAGCAGAAAGAAGAGGTGCCAAGGCCGGCATGGCCGCTATCCAAAATTGCTGGTTTCCTCTGAGTTCCTGAAGCAAGCGCAATGGGACCTTGGTGTTCCCCGGGTCGAACTCCGCCAGGCGCAGCAGGTGGCTCGCCTTTTCTAATTTCACTGGAGGGAGAGTGCGCGTGCCTTGTTCAGTATCATAGAGCAGGCCCCAGATGAGCTTGGAACTTGTCAGCCCTCCTTCTTCTGCATCCTTGGCGGGATTGATTGCCTCCGGGCCCAACACTCGCCGTGTGAGCTCTTCGACAGCCGTCACCGCGTAGTGCGGGCGAAGCCCTATGTCTGGTTCGCAGATGATGGTGTCATCCATAAGTACCAGGCTTCTGAAGGGCGTGGCGTCATTCCACTCTGGGTCGTTGGGCTTCAGGCTGTGGAAGGCAGACTTGATTGTCCAGGCAAAAAGCATAAACTGGCCCGGCGCTCCTCTCCATCCAAAGGTGAGGACGTTGTACACCAGCACTATAGTGCTCCCTGGATGTCCAAAATCCTTTCCTCCGAGGTCAGCGGCAAACAGCCTGACATCGTCGTCAGACACAGGTATCCATTTGAACGCTTCAGCGACGTCCTTCTTGGAAAGCAAAATGGGGAGAGCGGGGTATCGGGAGGCCCACCAAAGGAGCAACCTGGCCAATTCAGAATGGCGAGGCTGAAGAGCTGGGGGGTGGTCCTCCTTGGTGCAAACTTTGTTCACGGCCGTGGCGTCCCAAATCACTCTTCCCTTGCTGCTCACAGTTCTGTCTGGGTTGTACTTTGGGACTCTTGCCAAGGGCGCGGAGACTACACCTCTGAGGCCATCTTGCCCCTGGTCCACGACGATGAGGACCCTTCCTTTCTGAGCATCATGCCAAATTTGCTCTGCAGCCTCGTCCAGATGACCTTTCAGGCTGGGATGGGGGTTTGCCCGAACTCGCTCTCCTTCCTGCATATGAGCTCTGACCTCAACGCCATGCTTAGCAGTGCGTCGGGCCTCCTCGAGCAGTGAAGGGTGGACCAGGGGTTCCAGGTAAGCTTCATGGAGGCCAGCGAAGTGGTCCCCTCTCTTCTGCTGGCCTTCCTTACGCAAAATCTGCGTGGCCGCTTTCCAACCATTGGTAGCTTCGAGCAGGGCACTGCCCAAGGTAGCGGCGTGGCCCAGGGCCCCACGGGAGTAGGGAGTCGAACTCACGAAATCGAAGTATTGTCTACAGGCCTCGGCCGCAGAATCTCCGACTTTGTTGTTGTTGTTCGCGGAAGCGAACTCCGGCCCCCCCCCCGACCCCGGGCGCGAAGCGCGCCTCAGGGCGAAAGAGGGCAGCCACGAACGAGGGCAAGTCCCCTGGGAGGTCTGGTGCGCAAGCCAGGACCACTGGGTGCTGAGAGTAAAGCCACAGAGGGCCGCGTTGCGGCAGCCAAGCAGGCGGCACCCGCACCGGGGAGACGTGCGGGGCAAGTTCGCGAACAGCAAGCCCCAGCGGAGCAGTGATCAGCAGAGCAGCCAGGACAGATTGGGGCACCGAGCGGAGCAAAGCAGCGCGCCAGCTGGCGCTCCCGACGCCAAGATCGAGCCAAAGGCCAACACATCCCCGGAGGGCAACCAGGTGCTCAAGAACCGACAAGGAATTTAAGAGCTGGTCGAAGGCGTGGTCACTGACTGAAATGGTCTGAAGACCAGTGAGAGCGAGGCGTGCAGCAAGCGCGGCAACGTCGGGCCCGATGAACAAGAGCCAAGGTCCGTCCGCGGGTGGGGTAATTGCCAGTTGGGCACAAGCCGATGGAGGGTCTAGCGTCTGCCCGATCTTGGGCGCGAAGCTGTCTGGGGGTGCCAACGGACTGAGCCCAAACACACTGATGCCCCACCCCGAGCGACGTTCCGGCGGATATTTGGGCTGACAAATGTGACAGCGAAGGACGTCCCGGGCTCGATACCAAGCCTCGGGGCAGCCAGCTGCTTCCAAGTGGGGCTCCCAGCCGACCGCCTGGATTTGACGCGCTGTCGCAGGCCAGACAAAAGGGCGCGGCGGATGGAGCAGGCGCATATGGCCCTGCGAAACAAGGAGCCAGACGGTGGATTCCGGGCTGGAATCGTGGTTGGCGCCAACCAGGACCTCGAGGGCAGTGCTGCCACGGTGGTCAACTCGGACAATAGCAAGGGCATAAGGTGCAAAGATCGGGTCTGGGAACGCCGCGAGGCACCGATAGTCCTTGTCGTGCCCCCAATGCAGCAGGTCATGTGCATAAATGCGAAGATCAGCTTCTGCGCGTGACAGTTCGTCGGGCGTGGGCCCCAATGCAGCTTGGGCTTCGTGTGCCTGTCCGTGTAGTCGTTGTCGCACCGACGTTGCCAACGTCTCGACAGCCTCTGGCTCGGGCACTATGCCCGTTTCTGCGAGGAGCACTCCAGCGCAGCTGTGAAGGAGAAGGCACTGCTTGGGTTCCGGAGCGTCGGAGGCGTTTGGCTCAGCGCCGGCAAGCTGCGGAACGAAGTCTGCGGGCAGCGACAGCTCGTCTCCGAAATCAATGGTCTGCCAGGTGCCATACTGCCACTCAAGCGTTCCATACCCGATCAATCCGTCCCAACTGACAGGGCTGAGGGTCGCTGGTGCGGTGCTGCCGACCTTGCCGTAATCCCCGTAGGTGCTCAGGGCGTCTGCGGCTTGAGCAGCAAGTTCAGGACCCCCCTGGTCCCTAGCCGCTTCAAGGGCAGCAGTGACATGACTGGCCGTCAGGTCACAAGTAGGATTCTGCTCTTTTTCACGCAGGAGGCAGCCCCTGACGTACGTTCCAAGGAGCTGCGGGAAGGCTGGAATCCCGACATTTTCGACTTGGGCCATAACCTGGGCGCGATGACGCGCCTCAGGTTTGGCCATGGTTGCTTCGCGGATGTCTGGCCCAATTTCGGCAATTGCCGGAGGCGACCGATCCTGGTACCAGGTGTGATCGGCCCCCTTGGTCCACGCAGCGAGTTCCGCTTCCGCGTCGGTCGGGGCGAATTGAAGGAGCTCCTCAGGTGGCTGCGGTGGTGCCTGGCCTACTTTCGCGGCAGGCGCAGTGTTGGTAGGCTTCGCTCCTTTCCTGTCTTTGTCCTTTCCAGCTGGAGATGGCTTGGCTTGTGCCTTCCCCTCGGCCGACTTGGCAGTGACACTGTTGCGGAGCTCCACAATGGCTGCCTCAACCTCCAGTGGGCTTAGCTTTTTGTTGCTTCGGAGCCCGCCGCGGCGAAGCAGCTGCATCTGAATGGACCAGTCGAAAGTGTCCCATTTGGGAATTTTGCCAGCTTTGGGATGTTGGTGCGGGCACCCGTTGCCCTGCTTGCAACCTCTGTGACTGATGAAATCCCAACAGTAATACTTTCCTGTTTCCCTACATTTGGGACGATGGTCAAGTGACCGAGAGGCCTCTTTGGTGGTCAGCGGTGGACCGAGGAGCGCGGTTGTCTCTCCCTTTGCCGGCTTACCCGCCCTGGGATCTGGTTCTCCGCCTGCTCGACCCCCTTCTGCTGGTGTCAGGCCGAGGCTGGAGGCTTTTAGGGCTTGCTGCCAGCAAGTCCTTGAGAGCATACGGTTGTGCCGGGGCAAGATGTCAGTGTGGAAAAATTCACTGTCTGAGTCCAGGTCGAACGTCTGGGGCAGTCTTAGCCACGGGTTGCCTTCCACATCGGGAGCCGTAGCGAAGAACCTGATCCTTTCGAACGAAGGTGCTTCTTCCCCCATTTGTCGCCGGAGGTCTCGATCAAGCTGTTTCAACTCTTCCACGTATCGGCTCCAAAGTTCTTCCCAGACATTGGCGATCCATTGAAGAGGCCAGGCATATCCAACTTCTTCTCCCAAACGAAGGAGCTTGGTTGCAGCTGCTTCCCATTGCGGGTAGTGTTCAGTCCCATACGCGCACGAAAGGGCCCAGGCCATTCTCAAGGCGCATCTGAACCAGGCAGTGAGGGTAATCGGTCCCCTGGGTCTTTTCTCAAGCTTGAAATCCGTCGGCGGAGCAAAGGTGTCGAAGTCTGCCTCTGTCGTCAATGGGAAATCCGCGGCTGAGAGACTAAATTCCGGTAAGGACTTGACCTCCTTCCCACCTATGTTCATAGATGCGATCCCAAAGGCAATTCGATTGTTGACGTTGACTGGGAACTGCAGTGCCCGCATCTGAGGGCGGCCTTGTGAACCTGCAGTTTTGAGGGCGTGGAAAAGTTCTTTGCCGACAGTGGACGCGCACACCGGCACAGTCAAGGCGTCACAGCCTCGAGCAAGGAAGACTATAGGCGTTCTTCTGTCTTTCCGATGCTGCTGACCTTTCCCCTTTCCTGACCCGCGGCCTCATCTTTGCTCAACACTGCCTTGGCGATGGTCTGCAAAGCTTTGGTCGCATCATCGACCGGTCTGGGTTCTGGGTCCGTAAAAGCACCGGCCCTCCAAGGTCGAGCTGAAATGGCCAGGGAGGACGCTCCATCGAACGTCGGTGGTGCCGCGGCGAGTGTCGCTAAAGCCCCCTGTGCGGCTCCGCTCACCGGCTTTCTCGGCCGAAAGAAAGCGGCTGCTCCCGAGGTCCCATGGGTATGGTCCCAGCTGGGCGTAGCAGGAGGTCCTCCCGGGGCTGGCCCGGGCGCGAAACGCGCCTCAGGCCTGCCCTCAGACTCCTCCTCTCTGACGACGTTCGGGGCTGAGAGACTCGGAAGGTGCCTGCCAGCGTCTCCTTGGAAATCAACTTCAAGTTGAAGAACAGGATCCACAAGTGCCGGTCTTGCCAGATCTTCGAGCGCCTTTCGACTAGTCGCCGGAAACGTGGCTGGCAGACGTGTGAGATATTGCTGAGCTGTGGTCTTCAGGACGTTAGACAGATCCTGGTCTGATAGCAGTGCCCAAGCGCAGGCAGCTCTCGCTTCTGAGTCACTCCCCCCTTGGCTTCGGCTTCTGACGTAGTCAGCGAGGACCTGGCTCGCTTTGCCATCCTTGACTGGCTCAGCGGCCGCCACGGTTGACTCCTGGGTCGATTTGTTCGGCGGCGGCTCCTCACTTTCCAAGCTCTCCTTTCCAGTATTCAAAGTGGCTCTTGGCACGTGTGGCGGACGCTTTTCTTCCTTTGCGGCATGGAGTTTGCATAACTTGACATTTCGGTGCATAACCCGCGCCGCCGAGTTGCAACCTTCGACGGCACACCCTCTCAGGGCTCTTGACACGACATACTTGTCGCGATGTCTGTCACATGCATAGAAGTGATACCCTTCTTCATCTTCCTTCAACTCATCTCTACAACTGACAGCCTCGTCGGGTTGTAGGAGTTTGATGGGAGTTTTCCTAGCCGCGTCCTTGCAAGGACCGAGGCAGAGGGGCTCGCTCTGAGCTTGATTATCCACAGCCGCAAGGGCTATCTGATCAGCCTGGCAAGGGTAATCATCTTCTCCTCCTTCAGATTCAGTCTCTGAGTCGACGTGCAAGTGTCGTTGGGCTTGGGGTCCTGGGCCGCCTGGGCGAGAAGCTCGCCTCCGGCAACCCACCGATCCCCTTCTGCGACAGACCCTGCACCCAAAGCAGCACGCCCAACTAAGGAGTCTGCAAGTAATGCAACTCCAAAACGTGGTCACCGTCCAGCAACGCGCCATGGGTCCTTTACCTGCTGCTTCACGAAGGTCAACTTCAACGGTCCTAGCTACTACTGCGCTCAGTGGGGCATGCACGTCTGCAACTTCCGGAGCAGTGCAAGGAGACGCAGAGCACAAGTGGACCCTGCAACTGGCCACCTCCAGCTGATTGCGCCAGTAGCGATGCGAGCTCGAGTGCACTTCCGTGCAAACTGCCAAGTATCCGTGTCGATTGGTGCGTCCTCTGAGGGCTCCGTGGCGAAGCCTCGCCACTGCGGCCCCGTCTGACACGAGGAGGTCCAAGGGCTCTCGGTTTTCACTCCTCGCCCTCACCTGTTGTTGCACGTACTGCGCCGTCCAGGTGTACCCACATTCGGACCCACCCACTCTGGCCGAAAGGATCCGACCCCATGGAGGCTGACCACATCGTGCCAAGTGCCTTGACCACGAAGGTAACGCCACAAAGCGAGGAAGTGCCGGAGGACTGGAAACAGAACCCAAGTTACAGTCCACACTCCCAGCTGCAGTAGGAACACACCCACTACAGCCACAGCGAGCCAGTACATCCAGCGTGCAGCGAATCCGAGCGAGGCACATAGGGTCCCACAGTAGGTCAGACTACTGTCCGCCAACCTAAGGAAGACCTTGATCCCAATCTTGTAGAACCAACCAAGCCCCCACACCATCTCGAGGAAGGTGGCGCTTTGAAACCAGCCCCAAGACTTGGAACTTTCTTGGCGGGTTTCTGGGATTTTGCCCTTTTTTGGACTCCCTTCACCCTTTTCATTTTCAAGCCATTCCCATGACGGCCACCAACCATCAGTGGTCTGGGTGACCTTTTCCTTTGGCTCCAGGTTGTCGGCCGTCTGAGACCACCACAGGTCCAAGGAGTTTGTTGTCGCGATTCCATAGGTGATTAACACACCTATTCCCACTCGCATGGCAACCCCCGGAGAGCCCTGTTGGCCCTAGCCCCTATACAACACCTTGAGCTAACAGGGTCAACGTAGGCAACTAAGAAACCCTACGAACGCAAGCTGTACGTCCAAAAACAAACATACCCTTGGAAGGAAACCTATCATTTTGTAGGGGCATGATATGGCATGAGGGGGGACGTGGGAATAGAAACACCACACAAATCACACAAATACAAAGTATGATTTTGAACTCATTTTTTTTTTAAGTACTTCTCTCGGGGTGTCTTCGGCTATATGACTATATGCGCAGGAAATAACAAAACACCAAACCATATTATAGTTGTTTCGACGGGGACCTCTCACTTTGTAGGGGCACGATGGGGGCACAGAAAATGTATAAATGCTCGCAAATATATTCTGCGCAGTCTGGAGGCCAGACCTTTTGAGGCGTGTGAAGCAAGAAAATAAGAACAGCAACCCATTTTGTAAGGTTTCGAAAGGGACCTGTCATTTTGTAGGGGCATGACATGGAAGAGAATAGTTTCACTGGAAATTGTTGCGATCTTTCTTAGGAAGGTAAACAACAACACACCAGTCCATATTGTAGATGTTCTGGCAGAAGATTTTGTAGGGGTGTGTTGGGGGGGCTATACAGCAAATGATCAAACATGCGCGTTTAAAACATATACTCGCCACACACAAAAGAGCGAGAAGAGAGTGAGATAGAGAAACAAAAACCTGGCAAATCGATGATACTTGGGTTTGTCTGTGTTTCAAAAATTGAGTTATATACAAGTGGAATACTTTAGCAAAATCACAACATGTTACATGCTTCCCAGAAACCCAATGCATTCACTACAAAATGCAGGGGTTCCAGTCTTGAAGAATCCGCCATGGGACCCGGCAATTTCACTACAAAGTGCCTGGGATTTCCAAGGCCCTTTTTTAACCTAATTTCTATCTTCCAACCCTCATTTGAACGTAATTTTTCTACAAAATGCCTTGCCTGCCAAAGTTGAAGTGGGCCCTGGACTTTTGCATAAGGTGGCCTTACCACAAAATGACCTATAAAAACCCATTTTGTAGTGGCCTTAAGGCACCCATTCTGTATGGGAAATTCGCTGGGGGTTACCACAGGCCCAAAGCAAACAATAAAATCAACCAAAAGCAAGTTTGCAACCCCTAAAGTGGGAGAACTGGCAAAGAGTTAGATCTGGGTCCTGAGTCCTTAGCCCTTCAAAATAACACCAACATAGACCAGAAAACAAGAAACAAAAAAACCCAGAACAAAAAAACAATATTGCACACCCCAAGGGCGGGAGTAGTGGCAGAGAGTTGGGTCTTGTCATTTTGTTTCTTGGTATTTCTTTTTGGTTTCGTGTTGTTCTGGTGTTTTGTTTTTTTAGTTTTTGGTCTTGTTAGCCATTCCAGAAAAAAACCAACAACGAACTAGAAAATAAGAAACCAAAAAACCAAGAAACCACCCCAAAAAAAACAAGACTGCACACCCCAAGGGGGGGAGTAGTGGCAGAGAGTTGGGTCTTGTCATTTTTTTGTTTTTGTTTTTTTTGTTTTGTTTTTTTGGTTTCTTGTTTTTTGTTTTTTTTGTTTTTTTGGTGTTTGGTTTTTGGTTTTGTTTAGCCATTGCAGAAAAACCAAACAGAAATTACAGAAATTGTCAATGGTTGCAAAGCAGTGAGAGAACCATGGCACATGTGCAGCGTCAGTGGTTCTAGAATGCAGTGAAAACCCGCACTCCCAGGGTGTCCCCTTCTGAAAAAATATGTGTTGATAGATAAAAATATACAGATAGAATGCCAGAAGATATGCCAGATAGAATGCCAGAAGATATGCCAGATAGAATGCCAGAAGATATGTCAGATAGGATGCCAGAAGGTATGCCAAATAGAATGCCAGAAAAAATATCAGATAGACTGCCACAAGATATGCCGGATAGAATCCCAGAAGATTTGCCAGATAATATGCCAGAAGATATGCCAGATAGAATGCCAGAAGATATGCCAGAACATCTGCCAGAAGATATGCCAGATAGAATGCCAGAAGATATGCCCGAAGATATGCCAGAATATATGCCAGAAAATATGCCAGATAGAATGCCAAAAGATATGCCAGATAGAATGCCAGAAGATATGCCAGAAGATATGCCAGATAGAATGCCAGAAGATTTGCCAGATAGAATGCCAAAAGATATGCCAGAAGATATGCCAGAACATATGCCAGAAGATATGTCAGATAATATGCCAGATAGAATGCCAGATAGAATGCCAAAAGATATGCCAGATAGAATGCCAGAAGATATGCCGAGAGAATGCCAGAAAAAATGTCAGAAGATATCCCAGATAGAATGCCAGAAGATGTGCCAGATAGAATGCCAGAAGGTATGCCAAATAGAATGCCAGATAAAATATCAGATAGACTGCCACAAGATATGCCAGATAGAATCCCAGAAGATTTGCCAGATAATATGCCAGAAGATATGCCAGAACATCTGCCAGAAGATATGCCAGATAGAATGCCAGAATATATGCCAGAAGATATGCCAGATAGAATGCCGGATCGAATGCCAGAAGATATGTCAGATAGAATGCCAGAAGATATGCCAGATAGAATGCCAGAAGATATGCCAGATAAAATGCCATGAGATATGCCAGATAGAATGCCAGAAGCTATGCCAGATAGAATGCCAGAAGATATGCCAGATAAAATGCCATGAGATATGCCAGATAGAATGCTAGAATGTTAGAAGATATGCGAGAGAGAATGCCGGATCGAATGCCAGAAGATATGCCACATTGATTGGCAGAAAGTGTGCCAGAAGATATGCAGGATAGAACGTCCGAAAGAAGTTTGCTAGTCAAATGGACTAGAACTAGAACATATGGACAAAGAACACCAGATGATAAGCCAGATAGAATACAAGATCATGTGTGTAGAATTTGAGTGGATCGCTTGCTTTGCTGGGTCCTGGGTCAAGCAAGATCAAGTCAAAGCAAGTTGTCTCGTGGAACGGATGATGTGTTTGAGCAGCATTGCATCATGTGTATCTTAGTAGTTTGTACTGGTAAGCAACAGCTTGCGCTGGTTTTGACTTGCAGCACTTGCATGACAGCAGTTGCATCACAGCAGTTGCATGACAACACTTGTAACTGACATGTGGTTCAGCTGGCATGCATGAGGTGGATGTTAGAAGTATGTATGGGTTAGTAACAGCTTGCTTAGCTTGTACATGACAGCACTGTTATCACAGCATTTGCATCATAGTGCTTCGTAGTGACACTGTGGCACTTCGGTTGTGTTCTCGATCCTTGCTGGAGGCTGGGCACTGTTGATGCCTGTAGCCCATATGCACTGCTTGCATGCTTTTTCTGTGGCAGGTTCTTTGCTTTTGCTCAGTTGCGGCAATGGTGCAGGCTCGTGCTCTGGGGTCTGCTTGGAAACAGCTGCGAAGCTAAGAAACATGGTTAAACAGAATAGCTCATTTCCCGCCTCTGGTTCGAATCCAAAGGTCTTGGCTGTTTGCGATCAAAACATGCTGAATTTTTTGTTTGTTAGACTGAATAGAACATTTCCCTTCAAATGTGAATATAGAATGTTGGCTTTGTATATCAATGCAGAAAACATGGATAATATATATTTATGTATGTGGTGTAGATCCACTGTCTGTGCTTTGCAGCTATGGTGAAAAATTCGTGGCCGACTGGAGTGACCAGTTGGACTGACACGGTCAAATTCGCGCAGCTACTGTTTGGTTGTGATGTTCAATCTGAAAATTATAGCCACCGGTTGCCACACAACAGCGATGAAAGCTTTTTGCTGTTTGCAAAGGGAGCATGCAAAGAACTGATTGTGGATCAGTTGGAGGAGATCAAGGACTATGAAATTGGCCGAGGCAATCTGCAAAATCCGGAAAAATCGCAGCAGATGAGAGGTCGCTCGAGCAAGAAGTGTACTATTATAGTTGCCAAGTAAGCAAAGAGCCTTGCACTTGCCGATCGACGTTCGGGGCAGATGCGCATCACACTGGGATTCCGACCTGTTCTGCACATCACACTGCAGACGCGACTGATGAGCATTTGCGATTCAATTGCACATTGAGGTGGCATGACACGCATTGGAAGGAGTGCCCGGAGTATGTGGCTCTGTTGCTGGCGATGGGTGTTGTGTCCTCACCAGTTGTGTCTGGGCCGGACTTGCCCACGCCGTCGTCTGGGTCACAGATTCTGCATGGGATCAAGAAGCGGGTGGTGGAAACTCCAAGAGAGTCGGAGCCCAGGCTTGTGATGACAGAGGAGCAGGAACAGGAGAGGGAATTACTGCAAAAGTCGCAAAAGAGTGTTCAGATCCTCTTGGACTGTCTGGGCACTATTTCGGTCAGTGTGATGTTTTCTGGCAGCTGCTGCATTCATTGCCATTAGTTGATGCAAAACGAATGCATCAGGGCGCATTGGTTTGCATGGAACGAACATGTCTTTCATTTAGAAACGAATTGGAGCGAGCATCGGAGTCTGTGGAGAAGCTGGGACTGGATCTACCGGAATGTGTGAGCTACCATTCTTTGAATTTGATTGCCCTGGCTGTGCAGCAACGCAGGAGGATCCAAGGATTATTTGGCCAGCTGAGTTCTCCTGAGTGTATGTGGGTAAAAGAAGTTGTTGAACCAGGGTGGTCAAATTGTCTGAAGGATGACATTTCCTTTTGGAAATTATTATTGACACATCGTCAATTGCTGTATCTGTTGGAAGCGATGATGACTGAACTGTGTGACCTTACCAGTTTTGTCTGGGTCGGTCTTGTCGATGCATCTTTGCTCGGCTAGGAAGGGTGGCGGCAGCATGACATGGGATGCTCATCGACTGTGTGACCTTACCAGTTTTGTCTGGGTCGGTCTTGTCGATGCATCTGGCCTGGAGCAGCCGGGTAGATAGAAAAATTGCGCATATGCGTGGTATTGGAAATAATGGTGTTTTGTTGTTGAGCAGAGCGGACTCTAGGAAATGGCAAGT